CACCAGACTCCATGGCTGTGTCCAGACTCTAGCAGACGGTTTCTAATAAAGCCATGTGCAATGAAGATCTGAAAGCAAGGAGACCACCTGATGTTTAATACATGTTGCAAAATGAACGGTGTCCTGCATATGTGGAGATGGCATCGCTCACAGCGGTCCTGTCCCCCTCCCCAATTCCCCACTACCACTTTCTTCCCTGGGCGTGGATAGCTTAGGAAATCATCCCTGCCCAGTGGCTCCAGCAATACTGAATGGATGTGTAGTCTGGTTAGCAGATGTAGATGGTGCGAAATGATATAATGAAAAGGACTATTATTAACTGAGTATTTGTTGGCAGGCACTGTGCAAACTGCCTTATATGCAGCCTAATTCTCATAACAACCCAATGATGTGGGTATTATTCTCCATTTTATTAATGAGAAAACAGGCTTTGATGATTTAGACACTTCACTTGAGGTCACACAGTAGTAACTTGCACCGCTGGGATTCATATCACTCCAAAATATATCCTCTCAACTAGTACACAGGACACATCCACAGATCTTGTCAAAATGCAGGTTCTGATTCAGTAGATCTGGGGTTGGACTGAGGGTTCCAACAAGCTCACAGGTGATGCCCATGCTGCTGGCCGGGGGGACCAAATGTTTTAAGTTTCTTCTTCCATGCCAACTCTAGTTGACTGATAGCAACTTCCTGAAGGTGGGTTAGGAAGTACTGTAAAGCTGTGTCTGAGGTAGAGTGATTTCCTGAGATTAAAAAATTAATATGCATGTAGTAGGGGCTAATTTGTGATAGATTTCTAGTACAAGACTGTTTTTATTCTATTACTGTATCATCTATTGCTGCTGTAATAAATTACCACAAATTTAGTGGCTTAATACAAAACAACTTTATTATCTTACAGGTTCTGGAGGTTCAATGTCTGAAAATAGGTGTTACAGAGCTAAAATAAAAGGGTCAGCAAGACCATGCATTCCTTCTGGAGGTTCTGAAGGGGAAATCTGTTCTTTCCTTGTTTTTTTTTTCAGCTTCTAGAGGCAGCCTGCATTCCTTGGCTTGTGACCACATCATTCGAACCTCTATTTCTATCATCTTCTCTCCTCTGACTCTGCTCCTCCTAAATCCCTCTTATAAAGACCCTTTTGATTACAGTTGTGTCAACTGGATAATCCAGAATAATCTCCCCATGTCAAGATCCTTAACTTAATATATCTGCACAGGCCCTTTTGCCATGGAAGGTAACATATTCATAGGTCCCAGTGATCGGGATGTAGATATTTTTGGAAGGTCATTATGATGCCTCCTGAAACCTCACTTAGTACTTTTTCCTGTAGTTTCTACTATGCCTTATTTATCTGTCTCTTCTGCTTGATTTCTCAGACTGCTAGGAAGTTCTTTCAATGGAACAATTCACTTGAAAGTCATTCAAGAGACAATAACAAATATGTACCAGCAAGAAATACCCCAAGGTTACAAAAAGGCTATCAGGTCACATAGGATTATGGTCATGAAAAGGGCACATAGGATGAGGAGCTGCTTATTTTTCTGAATGACGCTGAGGTAACCCTTCGAGCAGTACTATCCACAATTTAAGGCCCCTTTTAGCAATATGGAATTTTTCAAAATTCTGCTTCTCAAAGAGTATACTGTTCCACGATAAATACAGCAATTCAAAACTCATGAAAAATTGAATATAACACCAAATTCCAGAGTGATAATTTTCAAAGTGATGATAAAATTTACACCAGTTTGTCAAACTAAATCAATATTATTAAACACCTTTTATGCTCAAGGTACTTAAATACTCTGATATAGTTTATTATTTCATGAGGGACACATAATTTACACAAAAAAATGAAACAATAAATGACTTAAATAGAGGAAACAATAGGAGAAGCCCTGTGCCCCCCTTACCCTGCCTTCCTGGCTGAGTACTTCCCCTCCCTCCCTCCGTGGGGCGCCTCACGGGAACCTGGAGATGGAGAAGGGCTCCCACCTCACCCTGGAACCTCTTCCTGTGCCTGTCCTCAAACTGGGGATACGGCCCAGGCTCCTTTCAGCCCCCCGCATAGTTCTCCTGTGAGAATGTTTTTACTGGTGTATATTTTTTATTGGAAATGAGCCTTTTAGGAATGAATGTAGACTGCTTTGTATTAAAACTTGTAAATTGCTTAAGAAAAAAAATTTCCAAGTGAATTAGATAAAGTGAATATTTTATTTGAAAGTTAGGTTTATACAGGAGTGGAAATAAAGGAAAGATAGGTTGGGATGTTGCGTTATAAAAGACCTTAAATGTCAAGCTAATGAGCTTAGACTTAATCTGCAATAATAACTACAGTAATACCTTATGTTCGCATAGTGTCAAGTAATTTATCAATTGCTTTTTACATAATTTTAGTCATTTGACTTCCTTCTTTTTGCCCCCAGACAAGCAAGCAAGTGCATGTGTGTGCGCATGCGCGTGCACACACACACACACACACACACACACACACACACACACACACACACAACCACACACACCAGACGGATAAGAAAGTACAAACCACTTCTCAAAGAGATTTTCTTGACCATCCTATGTAAAATAGCAGCTCCCTTACACACTTACCTGTCATTCTTTCTATCCTTCTCACCCCACTTTATGTTTTTCCACTGGATTTACTACTACATCTTGATAGAATATATGTTTATTATATGTCTACTGTCTATGAGGGCAGGGACTTTGTCTCTTTTGTTCACTGCTATATCCCTATTGATTAAAGCAGTGTCCAACACTTATTAAGTGCTCAGTAAATATTTGTTGAATGAATCATTATTACTGATTTACAAATCAGGAACCCAGATGCCAGATGTTTAAATGACCTTCACTACGTCCTACAACTACTAATTGCCTTTACCAAGAATAATGCCCAATGTCCAGCCCAATACTTTTTTGATACTATATTTCCTTTCTGAGTGAAAGCTTGTTAGTGGTGTTTAAACCGGAACAGCAATGCATTTTTAAAAAATAAGAATTTGAGGCTAGAATCTTCTCTAAAAACTTCATCAGTTTATCTGGATTGGCAAGAAGCATTGGCAGGATAGAGTAACCAACAGTAGATCTGGAGGGCTGCCATCTACATTTCTTGGCACTGAGTAATACAAGTTTTTTTTGGTAATTGTTCTCATTTAATTCGTGCATGCATGTCTCAGTACACTGTATTACAGGCTTTTAGGCTCAAGGACGATACCTTCTATTTCCTTTATATCCTTGCATTCTGCCTGATACCAGGCTCTAAATAGACATATCACTGCATGGTTACAAGATGGCTACCATCACTCCAAAAATCATATCCTTACCAATCACATTCAAGGTGGTATAGGAGATGTGAATATACCATCACAAAATATGCCAGTTTGGCATAAAGCTTATTTTGAGCTGGAGACAAATGAAAATCAACAGATGCAAAAAGAAGCCTTCTTGGAGCTTCCCTTATCTGACTAAAAGCAGAAACTTCTGAGATAAAAGGACAGCCATAAATCTCTTCTGGGGAAATTTTATGGCCATGAAGAATATGGAAAGTTAGCACCAGATGGATCTACAAACAAATCTTACTAAAATATCCCATGGTTCCCCTTCCTACAGTTTGCTGCCCCTTTTCCTTTGTCTTGTCACTTCCCTACAAATTTATTGTTCTTTGTTAAGATGCTATATAAACCCAAGTTCTAACCACCACTTTGAGTTACTCATTACTGAGTTTCTCCTGCATCTATGTACATGTTTATAAACTCTGTTTCTTTTTCTCTCATCAATCTTTATTTTGCCTGGTTCTGGCTAGTACCCTGGGGATAGGGTAGAGGAAAAATACATCTTTTTAAACTTCCTTTAGAATAGGAATAAAATAATTCCAGTAGAAAAGGGAAGCTCTATTTTTTTTTAATAGAAGAAAAAATATTTCCCAGACTAACACTTCTACTTCCACATCACTTGCCAGAATTCAATCACCAAATCACCCAGGGAGGCTGTGAAAGTGAGCACATAGCAAGGAGGAATGGGCTCGCCTTGATTTTTCTGTGCTAGACATCTTGGTACCCCAATCAAAACTGAGGTTCTATTAGTAAGAGAGAAAGCAGATAGGCTTTAGCATAATTCCTTTTCACAAAAAATTTAGCACAGAAACACTGAAGACTCACATTAAGGTCCGTTTTGATGTTACCTGACTACACTTGGATTTCTTGAAGACTATGGCAAGCCAAATAAGTCTGGCTTCTAATTAATTTCCTCCCTCCCCACTCTTTCTCCCTTCCTTCCTTCCTTCCTTCCTTCCTTCCTTCCTTACTTCTTTCCTTCTTTCCTTCTTTCCTTCCTTCACCCCT